ATGCGACTCTTGCCTGGAATCGTGTCTTGTGAATTGTGCTAATCCCGGTCGTTGAGATGACAACAGACGCGCAATCGCTGTCACCCCTACTGCGGTGCAGTGGAAGATAGTCGCCAAATGAAATCGCTCCTGTCTGAGCAAGCTACCGCCCTTCACGAGCAGGCCCTCGACTAAGGCGCCATACGCTCGTATATTAACACGTTTATAGCTGAACGCCTTCTCGAAGACGAGCAAGCACTACGGAGCTCTGAACGCTGCCGATTGCTCAGCTCAGGTCTCGCGGGTTTTAAAGGGACTATCCCACCTTTAATATGGGGTTTGAGTTGAGATAGCCAAGTTTGCGGCGAGGTTCAGAAACCACTATCTATCTATAGGTTGCAAACCCCGCGGCCTCTTGGTGTTGAAGAAATTCGTTCCCTTCATTTGAAAATGGGCCTTGTACAGTAGGTCTACTAAAAAAGTCCCCCGCTCCAGAGGCGGCCGGCCGGCCGAACCCCCGGATTCCAGCCCCGACTCTATTGTGCAGGCCGCGGCAGCGACACGGGTCAGGTCGCGGCGCCCGGCGAGTGCAAGCGAGTGGGTCAGTTGGCGGCGGCCGGCCGTGGAGTGAGGACGCCATGTGTGGGGCGCAGAGATGCCGCAGTGCAGAGGAGAGGAAGATAATGACTCGCCACGATGCCGGAAATGATGCCTTTGTGATATAAATTAAACACCTGCAGTGCTTATCCTCCCTTGCCCCATTCCTATTTTATCATAATCCTTCAATAATCCGTAATGGCCATTCAACGCAAGCAAGCAAACAAAACAACTCGTTTAGCGGCGACATCATCTCGGATAAAAAAGCGACAGTGATGACTGATTAGAATAGACTTAGCGCGAGGGCAAATCGAGGGGTATATATGTATCACATACCGAGTATTTTATTCTCATCTAGCGAATTAATATTGGGGATCTTGTCCAACAAGTCAGCGGCCGTTCTAGACAAAGATAAATGCTTTGTTTTCCGTCGCATCATTATCTGCAATAATTCGAAGCGAGGTTTAACCCTCGCCGGCCGAGAAGAAGGGGTGGATGCTGCCACCATGTATTTTTTGCGGTAGCTCAAAGCACACTGATGATAGAAGGCTGACATTTCATATGCCTTGCATTTGATTCAAGCCGTATCATTTGACATCAACCACGTTTTCAGGTCAGGTCACTTAACTATGACGTCTTAAGTAAACCTCTGCACGGTTGTCGGTTGTAAAATGATGCAAATCCGCAATGTGCACTTAGTATCATATAAGCATAATGGGGAAATATGGAAACTGTTAATTTGGCGTCGGAAATGATCTGAAACTATACCTCAAGCACATGAAATCGTGACTTCATACATTCTTGGTAAGGTCTAATGCTTCACTTTTGCATTATTCACCTTGCGTGACGTCATTTATGACGTCATTAGGGACATAGGAGTGCTTCGTCAATAATTCCCGAGCAAAATGAGCTAGCCAGTCGTGACAGCCATCAATGGACTTTGCAAGACTTGCCGAATCAAATGTTAATATGCATCATGTCCTCCTTTCAACAGCTTCGTGGCCTGTGTTGCCCTAACATGACATTGACCTGGGGTAAACATCCTAAATTGCTTCACCTAAACAAAAAAGCATATAAATCGACGCGTCTGAGAACAGAAAACACGATTGTATCGAAATGACGATAATGCGACCATTTTTGCGAAGTTATTTACCAAAAACCGATCACATGCCTTGGGGCCCTTGACCTGCCCTAAGAGGTCACTGATAATTTAAAATGGGGTACCAGCCGCTGCGTCACGTAACGACGCCATCGCTCGTTTTTTTTCCGCGAGGCTCTAGCAGCTAGCTCAATTATAGGAGCTAAACATGGAGTTGGGGAATCGCTCCCTTCTCACTCACTATTTGGCCGGGATAGTGTTTGCAATTATTGTTAAAATCTAGCATTTTAAGATTTCAAATGACCCATTTTTGTCACGCCCAAGTCTTTCAATTCAAGGTCATAACGCCAGATCACGTCAAGTGACCTTACCTCAAGGAAAGTTCCTGTGCTCATCATATCTAAATACACCGACTAACCGATCCCCTTAGAACTTTCAGAGATTTCAATGGGCAACAGTATATGTATTTGAAACGCTTACTTTGGAAGTTTGACATTGTTGACAGAAAGGTTGGGTCAATTTTGAGATCGCTCAAGTCAATGGGAGAAAATTGAACTGCGCTTTTTTGGACGGAACGCATAATAACACTATGAAACATGTGGTGCTTGATGAGATACAATACTGAATGAGAAAATTGTTTGTTTTGTTGGGAGCCATCTTTTTCAGTCTGAAAAGGCCCTTGTGGAGATATGACATAACTATGCTCATGGTGTAGTAATTGGGTTGTGCGACCCAGCGACAGTGATCTGCGGAAGCGAGACTGTTCCCGTGGGACGATTGCCAGCTGTCGGGACGGTCCAGCCGTCTCCCAAACGGTCACCCGAAGAGGATTATGTGTCCTGGAATGGATCCGACATCAACTACAGGTTGGCTGGTGGGGTGACCTCCAGTCCAGAAAGGGAAGCATGAAGACTAGGGGCGATGCGGATTGGTTTTTCCTAAGGATAGCGAGGACGGAAGGAATCTAGCACCCTTGACCCTTCCTTATACTGAATGTATCTCAGGCTGTTAAATCTCCTGAGCGTTTTTTTTTCTCGACATCGTCAAGGTGTCATTAATAAAAATATGAAATCCGGGAGGATAAATTAAATATAGAAATTGTGGCCGACAGAACATTTCAGTTGCGTTCAACATATAACTCGTAAGTAATAACATATTCGCCATGTAATAATTATTTTTGATAGACATGCTCAAGTTATGCAATCATCTGAAGTGTTTGTAAAGTTCCACGATACGGATCTAACATCCTGCTATGCATCATAACCATTTCTGGTCAGGTCATGTCTTTGAACATAGACCATTTTTTTTCAAATGGCCTTTAAAGATCAACTTTTGATTCGTTCGAAGCGTTTTGAGGAAGAGGAACACGAGGCTGGTAAAATTAATTTCATGCAAGTTTTAAGCTAAAAACTTTTAAGGGTTGGTGGAAAAGTAATTGGTTTTCTCATAATACCGATGGTGGCAGTTGTTGTTATTTACATGCTAAGCCGTTGACCTTAATTAAATCTGACAATATTATTCAGACATAGCGGTAAACGAGCTGATTGTTGTGTTAGGTTAGGTTCTTTCGGTCGATTTCAGAGTGGGAAGGATGACAGGAATTAGGGGGAGACAGGGGGCCTGGGCGGGAGTCCTGGACCTCATGCTCCGCTGGGGCCGAGCCCATCACATGGTGGGTTGGATTGCCCTGACACATGGATAGCCCTGATGGGTGGTTCACGGCCACGCGCTGCAGCTGCATTATTGCGGCGGTTGTAATGAATTCGGCTCCACGCTAGCGTTGCGAGCTTCCGAGTCTGTTGATGTTTCCATGAAAATTGGAAACCCAATGCACAGGTGTGCGCAAGGCACCCTGTCCAAGCAAAATTTTACTATCGATGACCTCTGGTGACATTACCTCTGGCTCTAACCCGATCCAAAATTGGCTAAGGTATTTTTTCTTCTTTTTGCTACGTTTGACGCTACTTCGAATACCACTTAAATGCCCAAAGCTGAGTTAAAAGAATGATGCTCAATCCCCATCTCCCCTCCAACAGGGCGTGCGAGTCTAGGCATTCCTGTGGGGCACGGGCTAACAATGACTATCTCATAATCATTGTGGCCATGAACATCTACTGCCATACTTTAACACCGGTTTCGCTGCGCTGAGCGGTGGCCGTCCCGTTTGTTGGATTCTACAGCTGACTGGCGGAAAGCGTTACCGGCCGCCCGTCCACCGCCCGCGGGCCGGACCGAGCGGTCCCGCTGACCCTACCTGACCTGAGCCCGGCGCGATATGGGACAGGCAGACGGGGGTTCGGCTCAGCGAATGCAGCGCCCACTGGTGCTGGGGACTTTTTTAATAGACCTACTGTACAAGGCCCTATCTTCAACATGGAGCGACCGTTAGTGTGACGTCACCTCGTTTAGTCATTCTGATTTAAATGGGTTTGTTCGTTGAAAAATTGCTTAAAACTTGGTCTGAACTTTGTTGTGGTGCCTACAGAGTAAAAAGAATCAGCTTTATGACAGTAATGTGGCCTGGGGAAGGAGGTAATTTTGGGCTGTGACGTCACATATTTGAAAGTTTGTGTTTGGAATATGGGAAGCCTAAGATGTTCAATGAAAAATAAATGCCAGAACCGTGTTCCTGGTCATCCAATCTAATATAGTCGGGCACAATTTAACTGGTTTTAACAACATTTTAGAAGGTGGGTGTGACGGACCAGATACGTTTATATATCGATAAATATCTTCCAGTGGAAGAGCTGATGATGAATCAAATATTTCGCCACATTGGAAGAACCTTTAAACGTGTATTTGTCTCGCGGATTTATATTTAGTTGTTTGGTGCGACCGCTGAACTTTGCAAAACAGGCGATCGATTTTCATTCTTTATTATTATCAGTATAAATTTGCATACATTTGGTTTAAAACGAATAAACAGATGTGTTGCGCAATTTTGCTGGTATGATGAATAGAAGAAGATCGCCTCGGTGGACAAACGAGTCCGCTACATCATGAAAATCGATCATGAATTGCCAACTAACTCATGACCTCAAGATGGATGCCAACGATGCCAACAAGACTAATGACGAAACTTCGAGCTGCAAGTCTCACCGATCGAGCTATACGACGGTATCACGAGCGTCTGCGAGATCGGTCAGAGCTGCTAGTACACGACTGCGGCAGCTAGAAGAGCAGCAACGGCTTGAAGCAGCAGCCGAGGAATCTAGAAGACAGCTGGCGGAAACGAAACGACAGCTGGAACTAGCCAGAGCAAGACACGCGCTGGAACTTGCCGAGATCGACGAACAAGATCAGGTAGAAATGGATGAATGTGCACGATCCCTCCGTCATTCTTCTCAAGACGTGACACGGTGTGACCTGACGAATGCCATTGAATCCCAGCCAGAGAACGACAGTCGCCGGATATCAACTCGGCTGGAACCTGAGCAGGTCTCGCACTGGCCTGAGCCAGTCTCGCACCGGCTAGAGCCACCCTCGCACCAACCTGGACCAGACTCACACGTACTTGAACCAGTCTCACACCGTCCTGATTCAATCTTCATCGTGAGAGAAACCCCCAAACTGGACATTCTGCCCTTCGATGGAAAGTACAGCCGCTATCCATTTTTCAAGCTTCAAGTCGATGAAGCCATGAGATCCGGCCAGTTCACCGACCTGCAGATAATTCGTCATCTGCGGGACAGACTCAAGGGGCCGGCCTTTGAAGCGGTACATGGAGCTCTCCTGTCTGGGTGTCCTCTGCTGAGGATTATGCACGCGCTCGAGTCTCGCTTCGGGAACCGCCTGCAAGTGACGAACGCCGTAACGACTCAGCTCCTGAACTTCGACACGATACGATCGAGCAGGGCTGGTAAAAAGCGCCGATCCGCTGATAATATCGGAGCCAGAACAATAGCTGTACAAGCTATTTAGGGAGCCAGAAATAAGCGTTTCAACGCAAGTATGCATGTGCAGGATTACTGTCAAGTTTTGTTTCATATTTTCATTTTATTTCTACGACAAACCTTTAAATACAAGATGCCTGAGCACCAATATTAAATTAGTAGCAGCATTCAATTTCCCAATGAGATCTTATGCGCAATGTTTGTCTACAAAGTACAAAGCTGGTAGCCTATTCAGAATAGCTGTAAATGCTTACCGCGAACAGCGTTAGCATTCATCAGTCGAAGAGCCATCAGTCGATTTCCAGCTTTAACACTACGGAGAATAGGGCTCCGTAACTTTTATCAGTTGATGAGGACCTAGTGTTGAGGGAACGGGGAGCCACAGAGCCTTCTGCCATTGGCGGTTCACTGTATTACCGACTAGTTTAGAACACAAATAATGATATTCAAGTGGCCTTTTCATTTTTATCAATGCAGGGCATGCAGGGTTGCGGCTGGTTGCGGCACGGGCAAACTGTACATTTCATGGTATGTTGGTTGTTGTTCGTTTGGATTTGAAGTTGCTCCTTTTCTGTATAGTACATCTCATAGCAATCTCATAGACCACCTACCTCAATATTTTAAGCTGGTCAAGCTGTGGAGCTAGACATAAATATGGCGCTTGTTTTTATTTTGAAGATGCATACGGATACCTAACTCAAGTGGCTAAAGATACTCATTTATTTGCCAACCAACCCAGTAATGGTTAGCATATTTGTTACCAAATCAAATTAAATTTTGAAGATTAAGATATGTTCCTCTTCTGCATGTTTTTCTTTTTGGTACGTCATACTCAAAATATGCTTATATAAGCAATCCTTATTTATATTTCAGGCATTTTGTAACTAAAATTAATATTAGACATTAGACTTTCACTTATAGTGCCTTTGTGTTTCAGTTCTCAGCCTAGGACATCATCAATCATGTGTATCTCAGATGATGCAGACAATGACCAGCCTGCGGAAGATCTATGCTAGTGGGTGAGATGATGAAATTTCCTCTGTTGGTGAGTCAGTATTATTTTTTTTGTCAACAACATTCATTGCCTTACATGCATTTGTGCCTTACATTTCTGTCACCAACCAGCTTAAACAAAAGTAGAAGAAATTATATACCTACCTACATTCTTTTGCTGTGTTTGACACCAGGCGATGTCCTAAAATCAGGATACATCAGTGAGCTATAAGTAAAACTAAAATAGTTACTGATGATGTTTAAGGTGTCTGGTGTTCCTGAAAAAGGACGTTGTTCACCGCACTTTCAAGCCTCTTCTGTTACGCGTGTTAGGAGCCACTTTTCATGGCCGAAAATTTGGTCAGAGCCACCAAAACCATTTTTACCAGCCCTGCGATCGAGCGACACAGAACTGCTCTCTCAGTTCGGCACGGCAGTGTATAACGCTATATCAACTCTTCAAGCAGTCGGCTTTGAGAGCGAGTTGGACAACTTGCGCACGCTGCAGTTGTTGACGGGAAAGCTGCCACTGGAGAGCAAGCAAGCTTGGGGCGCCTACGCTCGGCGCCGATGTGAAGACGGGAGGAAGCTGTCGTGCGGTCTTTTCCACGAGTTTCTGGAAGAGCACATAAAGGATCGACAGTATGGCGTCATCGGCAGCAGCCTGTAATGCCATCCGTCACATGATGTCAAGAACCGCTCCGGCAGTCGCGGACGCACGAGCAGACGCGACCGTCACGAGCACCAACGAGAACGCCATGGCTACCATGGGGCCGGCAGGACGAGCCGCCCACCTGCCGAGCCTCCCACCTCTGTGTACGCAGCCAACGGATCTGCCCAGGGAACCCAGGGAGCCACAGCGCGTCGACCAGTGGCCTGTTTCTACTGTGGCCAAAATCACTATATAGCTCGCTGCGAACAGTTCCAGAGACTGACACCGAAAGACAGACTGTCGTGGGTTAATACGAAGAAAGCCTGCGTCCGCTGTCTCAACACATCCCACCAGTCATCTGACTGTCACCGAACAGGACCGTGTGGCATAGAAAACTGCACGCAACATCATCATCGACTTCTACACCCGGCTCAAGGAAGCACGACTGTGATCAACGCGGCGAAGGATGGACACACGTCCATTCTGATGAAAACGGTCGTCATCGAAGTCTCCGGCTCCACAAAACGAAGGTGTGTCGCCTTCCTGGACGAGGGAAGCTCAGTCACGCTCATGACTGATAAGCTGGCACAGGAACTGGGACTTCACGGGAAGCGTCAAAATCTGCGCATCAAGACAATGTCTGGACTGACTTCAGTCAACTCGTGTGAACTCACCCAGGTGACCATCGAGAACATCCATACCGGTTCAACACACCTGCTGGATAAGGTGGCTACTGTTCCCGAGCTGCAAATAGACAAGAATCCCGTGACGGCAAAACAGCTGAAGCGCATGTTTCCCGAGATCGAAGAAATTGGGATCAAACAGCTGGATGAGCCGCCTCAGATGCTGATTGGCCTTGACCACGCGGAGCTCATCGCCACTCAGAAGATCATCAAGACGTCGAAGAATGGTCCTCTGCTCCAGGAAACGAAACTGGGATGGACCATAACTGGGCGCGTCATCGCTACGGAAGACACCGAGACAGAGTGCGTAAACTTTCTGAACAAATCTCTGAACATGTATCGGGACGACAGCGCTGGCAGCGCCGCCTACTCAACCGACAGCGACTGCAGCGACATCTGCACGGCTGGGAGTGCTGGCGATCTGAGCGACATCTGGAGAACAGAGCACTTTGGCTGCAAGTATGGCTTCAGTAAGCCGCACAGCCCAGATGACAGGAAAGCGGAAACGATGCTACAAGAAGGGGCAAAATACGACGGAACAAGATGGACAGCCCCGCTTCTGCTAAAAAACGAAGATGAGAAGATGCCTGAAAGCCGAACGATGGCAGAACAGAGAGCCATTGCCTTGGAAAAACGACTGGATCGCTCTCAGCAAAAGAAAAACGGCAAAACACCAAGTCTCGCCGAGCTGGTGTACGAAAAAATGGAGAGAATGGTATCAGACGGCCATTTTCGAAAGCTGAGTGAAAATGAAGCCCAAGAAGGACACAAGAATGTCTGGTATCTCCCACTGCTCGCGGTGCAAAATCAGAAGAAGCCGAACAAGGTGCGCCTAGTGCTAGACGCTGCCGCGAAGAGCAATGGCAAGAGCTTGAATGACTTTCTTCTCCAAGGGCCAGACCACATGAACTCTATACCGGGGATTCTGTGCCGCTGGCGGGAGAAAAGAGTAGCAGTGACCTCTGACGTCATAGCTATGTTCAGTCAGATCAAAGTGCGAGAAGAAGACCGACCACTTCTGAGATTTCTGTGGCGGGGCTCACGTCGCACGGGCCGATTTGATGTGTACGAGTCTCCGGTGGTTATTTTCGGTGCCACCTGCTCACCAAGTATCGCTGAGCACTGCTTCCGGCGCACGGCGGACGAATTCACCGAAGACGAGGCAGTGAAGACAGCCGTACGAGAGGACACCTACGTGGACGATATTGTCACCGGTACAGACACCGAACACGAGGCAGTGAAACTGATTGACAGCGTCACAGAAACACTCAAGAAAGGAGGCTTCAAGCTGGGCCCGTGGGCCTCAAACTCTGAAGAAGTCCTCCACACCGTCCAACAGGAGCAAGAACAGCAAGACAGTCGGCTGCAAAGAACGTTAGGAGTCGGCTGGGAAGCTCGCCTCGACACTCTAACCTATGAGCCAATGGCTCCGCCGGAACAGCTAACGAAGAGAACACTTCATCGACAATGATGTCGGTGTACGATCCGATTGGATTCTTGACAGGATTCCTCCTGAGTGCGAAGGAGCTGTTGCAAGTCCTGTGGAAGTCAAGCGTCAAATGGGACCAAGAACTACCGAGTGAAGTCCAGCAGAAGATGAAGATGTGGATGGATGAGCTGACGCAGACGAGAGATCTACACATCCCACGTCACATCTTTCGTCAGGAGGCCGGCATCTCTTCTGTCGATCTGCACGCGTTCTGCGACGCAAGCGAGATGGGGTTCTGTGCAGTGCTATACTATCGATGGATCGACTCGACTGGCTGCATTCAAGTGAGCTTTATCTCTGCTCATTCTCGCGTTGCTCCCGTGAAGAAAATGTCTATCCCAAGACTCGAGCTTCAAGCTGCCGTCCTGGCCAGCAGAATGATAGCCTTCATCAGAAAAGAAACACGGACCGGCATCAAGTCGACAACATGTTGGTCGGATTCGAAGAACGTGCTTGCTTGGCTGCGCAGCACGAACGGAAGATACAGTGTATTTGTCGCAAATCGTATTGCGGAAATACATGACGTCACGGGGCCGGCTGACTGGCGTTACGTGCCGACGGCGATGAACGCCGCAGACTCTGGCTCCAGAGGCCACAAAATCGAAGATTTGTGTCCTGACAAGGAGTGGATTCGAGGGCTAGAGTTCCTCTACAAACCGGAGACAGACTGGCCAGATGACTGCTCAGATGCAGGCATCGGTAAAATCCTTTTTGAAAGGATTGCATTCCCAATCCACATTCCTAGTTCCGAAGTGGATTGTATTTGTATTTGTATTTGTATTTATTTTGAAGAGCACTCCACAGCAACAGTGGCTTTTCAAGCTCCGAGTCAGAGAATAGGGTAGATACCAGATGTGTACAAAACAATTAGTCATCCAACCGAAACATACCAAGTCACACACACACACGCACACACACTGAGTCAGACGACCTTACTTCAGTTTAAAGACAGCGTCCGGCTCCGCATCTGTCGCTTCAGGGCTCGTTGGAAGCGTTTCCCTCTGAGGGAAACGGTCTCAGGTGGCAGCTGGTTGTGAAGCCTCGGGGCTCTCGCACAGAAACGCCGTTTCCCCGCCTCGGTTCTTGACCGTGGTACATGAAGATGACTGTCCTGCCTGGTCGTGCGCTCACGTACGTCCGAGTTCGAGCGGAGGACGGCCGCGAGGGAGACTGGCTCGCCACTCGAGAGCAGTTTCTGCGTGAGGCAGAGCGTACTGTACTCAGCGAGTTGCTGAGCCCCCAGCCAGCCCAGGTTCTCCAGCAGGTCACTCGCATGGTCAAATTTTCTCCGGCCGAAAATAACTTTTGCTGCAAAGTTAAGGATTTTTTGGATTCTAGCTGTGTTCTTTTTTGAGCCGTTGCCATAAACTGATATGCAATAGCGAACCTGCGAGAGAACCAGGGCTGTCACAAGAGAGACGAATATGCCCCGGGGCACGACGTGTCGTACCTGTGAGAGACCGATGAGGGTCCCAGTGCAGCGGCGGCTGACGGCACCCACGTGACAGTCCCAGGACATGTTTGAGTCGAAAGTCACACCCAGATTTTTCACCTCGTTACAAGGCACGAGATTTGTGTCACGGAAGGCGACTGTGAAATTTGGTAGTTTGCGCAAATTTTGACGGTTTCCAAGAGCAATGAGTTGAGTTTTGTTCGCGTTGACCTTGAGGGCGTTCGCGCAGAACCAGTTATCCAAAGATGCGAGGGAATTTTCCATTCGAGAGATGAGCGCCGAAAGTTCGCTCTTTTTGCCTGAGACCATCACCTGGGTGTCGTCAGCGTACTGCAGAACCTTGGCATCGTTTGCATGGAGTGACAGGTCGTTTGAGAACACCGTAAACAGCAATGGCCCCAGGGCAGAGCCCTGGAACACGCCCATAGAGTTGGGGAGCGGGGGCGAGACACGCTGGGCGCCGGCGCAGTCACGCAGAGTCACGCTCTGAGTGTGACCGCTCAGGTAGGCCGCAAACCATGCAGTGTCCTCCGCATTCCTACCCGCAATCCCCTTTTTTCACTTGGATTGTGATCAAATCCGCAATCCTTTTTTGCAATCCTGTTGTATAATTATGTGCACTAGTGGACCTGGGGGAAGGAGGGGGGCATGGGCCGTGCCTCCATCCCCAAATCACCCATTTCTAGTACCTAGTCTTGCGAGTAATTCCTATCTAAGGCACAGGTATTTTATGGGAAATATTTTTTTGCCTCAAACACCCCCACATTTAACCCTCGCATGTGTAGGGGGGGGGGTCGGATGGACCCCCCCCATGGTTTTTCGCGAATAACTCGCGTAAAAAGCGGCCGATCGCGACGAAACTTTCAGTACCCTCGCATTGATCAATTTTACACCTACCCTGAAAATTTCATGACCCTGACCCAAATGACCTTTGACCTGTGACCTCTTTTCCGAGACCATGTTTGGCCGGAATCGCGATTTCGCGTATGTCGGCTCGCACTAGCCGCGTGTTTGCAAGCTTTTCGTGGTTTCAAACGTTCAAACATGTGATTTGATGTTACTCCCGTGTGTGTCAAGGTCACCTGAAGGTCAGGTCAGGTCATTGACCTTTGGTGACCTCGGGTGACCTCGGGTCACTTTTTTGAGTTTTACATGTTTCTAGGCTAGTTTTTGGAGCTGAATTCGAATTTAGCAACCATTTGAACATTTACGAAGTAGTTTTGGTGACTTCGTAACATGTTACGAAGCTGTCAGAGGCGGTTGACACGTACTACGAATACCCGTCACGACGCCTACTGGTTGACCTGACCTGACCTGACCCGACCTGGTCTAAATGCTTCAAGACATCATCTGTGATCAAAACTAACACGATATTCGTGATCAGCACCCCGAAAAACCCCTTAGCAGCCACACTTTACGACTTTCTAACAGGTCCCGATTTTCCCGACTTTGGGTCATTGACCTGACCTGGAAGGTCAACCAATGACCTAGGACCTTAAAATTGGGTATCATCGGCTTCCTCTCGTCACGGGCAACACGCTCGTTTTTTCCGCGAAGCTCTAGCTCGATCAGGGGCCAAACGGCAAGGGGGGGGTCCAACCGACCCCCCCCCCCCTACACATTAGAAGCTGGCAAACGCCGCACACATGCGAGGGTTAAACCTCTACCCAACCAGTGTTTTATATTTTTAAAACTCGCCCTCAAATAGGTAATTTTGCCCTTCCTATGTAGTTCATCAGCGTATATTATTTTGAGCTTAAATTAAAAGCGTTTAAATTATTTCAAGTTTCGATGTAAAGCCCTTGATAGCAAAGTACATTAAGCCGATGAAGCCGATCTCATAATTTTCAATCGCAACAAACCATTTCAAAGCACTAATCAAACACAATCCGGATTGGATTGCAAAAATTGGAAGTATGATGCAATCCAATCCGCAATCAAATCCTGTTTTTTGGAATGGATTTCAAATCCAGGTGCAATCCACCAAAAAGGAATGCAATCAGGATTTTGCAATCCTGCAATCACAATCCTACTGATGCCTGCTCAGATGCAACCGGCATTCTCGAGACGGACATGGAATCCAAACCGGTGGTGCTCGCTACAACAGTGAAGATCGAGCCCAATTTTCGAGAAAGCACGCCAGATCTTTCCCGATTCTCGCGCTGGACAGTGGCGGTGCGCACTGTGGCCAGAATACGAAGATGGCTCAAACTTGTCCGAGAAAGAAAACGCGGACCACTCACGGCTGATGAACTACGTGAAGCGGAAGAAATATGGACGAGAAGGGTCCAGGGTGATTCTTACCGTGATGAACTCATATGTCTTCAACAAGGACATCCGATCAAAAACAAGAGCCAGCTCTCAGGCATGACCGTTGGGTTGTTGGACGGCATCATTTGCCTCGACTCTCGCGTGAAGCGGTCTCCAGAGCTGTCACCGACTGCGAGAAATCCGCCGGTGCTAGCCCGTGACCACAAATACACGGAGCTACTGATCGAGCACCTGCACCAGAAAATGGGACACCGAGCGCACGACGCAGTTCTGGTGAGCCTCCGACAGAAGTGTTGGGTGCCGCAAGCCGCTCGCAAGATTCGCTCGCTTGTGGCAAGATGTCAGACCTGTAGGGTGCGGAAGGGGAAGCCACAGACGACAAGAATGGCTCCGCTTCCGTTGGCCCGAGTCACTATGCTCGAAGGCGCCTTTCGGGCGACTGGTATGGACTATTTCGGCCCGATGAAGGTGAAACGGGGGAAGACAGTGTCGAAGATCTGGGGCGTACTGTTTAGGTGTCTAGCCACGCGTGCCGTGCACATAGAGCTGACGGACAGCCTGGACACTGACGCGGCCCTGATGGTGATATCAAGATTCCAGGCGCGACGAGGAAACGTGCAAGAACTATGGTCAGATAATGGCAAGAATCTCACCTCGGCAAACAAGGCTCTGAACAAGCAACTCAGAGCGCTGAACCAAGACCAGATGATGGCAAAGCTGTCTCTGGAGGGAATCAAGTGGCGATTCATCCCGCCGTCCGATCCTGAGGCAGGTGGCGCTTGGGAGCGCGCCATTCGTACGGTGAAAGACACGCTAAAGATCGTCTTGAAGGAGCAGACCCCGCGGTTCGAGGTGCTACAGACGGTCATGGCAGAAGTGGAGAAAATCATCAATTCGACGCCGCTGTTCCACGTCCCAGTGGATGCAGCTGATGACGATGTGCTCACGCCGTTCCACTTCCTCATCGGCCGCGCTACCCCTGCTTACCCGGTGGGCTCGCAGGTGCAAAGCAGTGAGTGTCTCCGTCGAAGATGGAAGCACGCTCAGGTGCTAGCCGACCATTTCTGGAGAAGATGGGCACGAGAATATCTCCCTACGCTAGCAAACAGATCGAAGTGGATCCAGTCGTCTCGCAACGTGGAGGAGGGAGACGTGGTGATCGTTGCAGATCCTCAGCATCCCCGTGGACTGTGGGTCAGAGGAGTGGTCACGGACACTGTGCGTGGCCCTGATGGAGTGGTGCGATCGGCTCGCGTGCGGACGGTGCATGGAGTGCTGCACCGCCCCGTTCGCAAACTCGTAGTGCTACAAGTACTTCGCTGTACATAAGATGTGCCTATCGCGAGCCATCCGTGCCGCGAGTGAAGTAATAGAACATGCCAGCCGTCACATATTGTCTCAACATGCATTGTTGAGAGAGGCCGGGGTGTGACGGACCAGATACGTTTATATATCGATAAATATCTTCCAGTGGAAGAGCTGATGATGAATCAAATATTTCGCCACATTGGAAGAACCTTTAAACGTGTATTTGTCTCGCGGATTTTATTTTTAGTTGTTTGGTGCGACCGCTGAACTTTGCAAAACAGGCGATCGATTTTCATTCTTTATTATTATCAGTATAAATTTGCATACATTTGGTTTAAAACGAATAAACAGATGTGTTGCGCAATTTTGCTGGTATGATGAATAGAAGAAGATCGCCTCGGTGGACAAACGAGTCCGCTACAGTGGGATAGTCCCTTTAACCGCGTGTGTTTTGCCTTTCCTGCTGTATGTTTTGAATGTTTTCGCCTTACGCTTTTTAGGAATGAAGGTGAAATGGACCGACGCAACGGCGGGGATGAAACAGACTGACCGGGGTGTAACATCGGATACACCAACTACTTGGAAAGCTTTGGATGAGCTACGGGGTACGGTCCATATTTGTTGCATATGGAAAAAATTAGGGTATTGAATCGTGAGGATTTACCTGATGTCAGTGGATGCCAGTGGTGTCTTGGGATGTAAACTGGGACACTGGTTGTTACAGTCCATGAGCGGCAATAACCTACTGAAGTACAATTTTGCGGTAATATGGCACAGAAACTTGCGCCCCCATGGAGGGGCTTTGGGAACATCGGGCAACGCCCAAAGCTTTTGGACCTGTTTTGGCCTCCACATCGAAAAACGCCACATAGAGACTATGGGGAAAGCTTGAGGCTAACTTTCCCCACAATCGGTTTAGCATTTTCTCTTACGGAAAACGCGTGAGGCTTGTTTGAAAAGGTCAATTCAATATGGGAACCCTGTGGGGGAATCAGTTTTTTTAGCCCGTTTGGTACAGCGCTGCGAAGTGTTACTCGCTTCCCCTGGTTTTTACTGCTTGCAAACTTATTTACAAACATGTTTTCAACAGGAGGTGCTGCTGGCAGCGCATTCTCGTTACAGCGATTTTTACTTTTTTCTTCAAAAATACTAATGAATGGTTAACCTCAAACACTCGACTTTTTCTTCGTGAACACTCCAAAAATCAAATCCTCCAGAAAAAGCGGGAATGTGAGCATAGAGTGGAGAGGAGGAACAATATAGAGGAGCTATCAGCCATTGTAATTTGAATGCATTTCTGCTGACGAACGGGTCACCCCAAAGTTTCACTATCTTTTACACTACCACAATCAAATTCGAAGACACGGTGCACTTATTCACATCATAACCTTACGATTTGAAAGCAAGAACAGTCAGTTGAAGAGCTTCGCAAAGCCAAAAAATTCCGGAACATCAGCAAAACTTCCGAAAAAGCACCAGCGATGGATGTCTTTAAGGATTAGCTGTAAAATGCTGACTTCTCTTGGAAAGTCGATCAGGCTCACGAGCTCAGCAAGGCTGGAGGAACGATCGAACGAGATAAGTGGTGATTCAAGGCGCTAACTATATATGCCTAAGGTGCTGATAACTGGCGTTATCTTTTGTTAACCCTGTAACGCTGTCGGCATCGTATGCTACCTACTGAAGTGTTAGCTGTCTATCGGCCGGCCGTCGCTCTCTTTCCCTGATATCCTTCCAGGCGATCGTTTAAAGAGAGACGGTCAACAAGGTAAGGAATTACAGACAATTAAAAAGCAACGCAGATGGTTGGAGGGGTGGGTGGAGGAAAACGTGCTCGGCAGCGACCGCCGCTGGTCCGCTCCACTCGCCCGGGCCGCGTTGAGTGAACCTCAGCCGTCTCGCTCGCGGCCGGCCTACCTGTGACGTCACGACCCCTCCGGCGAGGTCAGGTTGGGTCACCGCGCGCCAATGCCGGCTGGCGTGGCTCTTGAGGCCCAAGGCCAGCCGCGAGTACACGTTTGAGTAAGGTAGGCAAGAGGTAGGCGGGATTTGAAACGGACAGACGTATTTTACCTTGCTATGAATAATGACAAAATCTAAGCGTACAGTAAGGCTATTGTTGGATACGTTACAAAGATTGAAAAGAAAACGATGCCTTTGAAGCACCATACTTTAGGACGTGATATATTTATGATGTGATATAGGCGGTGCGAATTCGATGGAGCCCGTGCACCAATTTAAATTGGGGCACGCGCGCGCCGTGCTGAAATTTTTTACTGAAATATTTGAAAGGTCATTGCAGGTCGTCGGCTCAGTTCCTGGGCTCAGTTAACTCACAGCTTGCCACTATGGTCTTCAACTTATAGTTTTAGCGCCTTACCCTTCAGCTCTGCAACATTTATGAACATTGAATCACCAGCAGCGTCTCAGTCGTCATGGACGACGAGGCGCTCGATGAGCTGAAGCGAGAGGCTCATCCAAGGAACACAGCCAAGGCTACCCCCAATGGGCAATGACTAGACTGAGGGAATGGCTCAAGAAACGTCATCTGAACATTGACCTCAAGGTCATTACCGCCAAAGAGCTGGCCCCACTACTGAGGCGCTTCTATGGTGAAATTTAGACATTTGGAGGCAAGCCGCTGACACCAAGCGGCTTGGTGGGTATCAGAACGGGGATCCAACGGGCTCTGACACTTGAGCTTAGTTGTTCGCATTTTAGTTCGATGCATTGACCGGTGACCTCTAGGTACGGTCACGTGACCCGGCGCCGGCTGACCTGCCACGTCACCTTCCGGGTCAGCGGAGGGGCGGCCGGTGAGGGCAACGCCATTCTTGGTTGGTCTATCGCGGCGGCTTTGGCGTGCCGCTGCTACGGTTGGCTTTGAATGATTTGGTGGCTTGGTTCAGCCGTTCGACGTTTTGGAGGGCAAAGGCGTTTTGGAGGTGTAGGCGAGTGAGTGATATTAGCTTCGGAGTTTTGAAATTGGTGAAATTGTTTTGCCGATTATGTTATCTTTGCTTCGTTGCGTCTGTGTATTCGCTTAGTTGGTGTTCATTAGGTCATGTGTTAAGTTTGGTTTATTTTCGATTCCAGAATCCGTTTCGCTCTGTTCCGCTCTGTTTACTGCGATTGAATATAAAGTCAGCATCTATGGAGCGAGCGCGTTTATCTCAACTCAACTCAACTCATTTATTTTAACAAACCAGACAAAGAAAAGACACACAAAACATACAAATAGGACAAAAAGGATATCTGCCGGTCGGCGCACGATCCGGAGGCCCTAAAGGTCGGCGGCGGCTACAGGAAGGTTCAGCCATTGCAATTGGCTGCCTTTGTTCACTGTGCACGAATCTTGTAGTGCACGATGCGTGTGCGGCGTCCAGATCTATCGCAAAGTCCCTACAGAACGTGAATGAACTGTGTTCTATTCAAGGACTCCATGCACTTAAGGAAAAAGTTCCAGGCCGTCTGTGATGGAACAGCAGAGGCGCCCATGGCGAAGCTTAGGCCACTCTACCCAACAAGGTGGACAACCAAGCTGGAAGCCACGATCGAAATGTACGGTGAAATCGCCAAAACTCGGGAAGAAATGTCGCAGGGTCGCGGACACGTGGCTACGCGCGTTGGTGGCCTGCTAGAACAGATGAGGTCGGGGAACATGTACATACGTGTCGCAGCGTCGCTAGTAATGGCGCGTACGATGCTGGCGCCATTGGACCACTTGAGCCGTCGCATACAAAGAAAAACCTGCACGGTGTCAGATCTCTCAGAGGGCGCCAGAGCCACTCGTGACTTCATGGCGGTTGTGCGAGAGTGTGCTGACGAGACAATCGGCCGCGCGCTGCAGGCTGTTGAAGAATCGCCGCTGGAGTTTGAGTCACCCACTGTCCCAAGGCAGATCTGCCAACCAAAACGTCTCACAGGCAACGCACCCGGCCACAAAGTGACCGGACCCCGATTATTTTTCCGGATGGATGGAGCTGAAGGTGCTGGACACCGCCTGTATGCAGATCTCGGAACGTTTTGAGGGCGCTGGCGTGCTAGAGCAGGAGAAGCTCAGGAGACTTCTTTTCGGAGCAGCTGACCTGACTCACCTGGAAACTGCATGAAAAAGAGCATGAATGTGTGGCCAAGTGATCTGGACTGCATGAACTGTTTCCCCTGCTTAATGTTTTTAAAGCCGCTTGCAGCTGCCTTGCAGAAGCCGCAGCTAAATACAAGAATATGTCTGAAAACTCGCGGATGCTATGCTCCTACCTCAGGTGAAAACCTTGCTAATGCTCCTACTGCTTCCTCCTGCCAGCATAGCTACAGCAGAGCACAACAGCTTCAGTGCTCTGCGGAGGCTATAATCGTGGCTCAAGTCAACTACGGGTCAAACGCGCCTCAACGCCGTGGCCCTATACCACGTACATAAGGATCGCCTATCGCCTCGAAACGGTCGACATTCGCGCCTTGGCGGGAAATTCTCTAATAGGAGTGATTCCCATCAGTGGCGGATCCAGGGGGGGGGGGGCAAAATGGGCATTTCCCCCCCCAAACGGCATAATTTTAACATCACGCCTATGGACGAGGCATGGAAAGAATCGATAAATTGTTATGGTTTGCCCCCCCCCAAAAAAAAACTCTGAGCTGGATCCGACACTGATTCCCATCGGATGATCTTCGGGAAGTTTTGAGGAGCTGATGTCCTCATACTGAACGATACGTAAGCGAATGCAGATGTCTGGGCATCGCTCCGAGCGGCGAAGAGCTAAATCCGATGGGAAAATAGGATATGGGGGGTACCCTAGATTTGGAGGAGACACAGGGCGATGGGCGAAGGATCCCCCCCCCCCAACCAGAAGTCCGTGGCGGAGCCTCAGCCCCTATTAGTGGCAGGCTACTGGCTACCCCTATTAGTGGCAGGGGGGCTGTTTACGACCCCCCTCCCCCTGATATCTCGAGATCTAACGGGCTGATTTTCAAAATTCAAACGGCATTCGATTTCGCTCAACGTGATCTACATTTCTAAAAAATAAAAATTAAAAAATGTCAATCGGGGGTAGAGGGGGGGGTAAAAACGGGCAAATTGCAGATACATTTTAGACTGTTTATCACGGCCAGGTTTCTGAACCAATCTTAACGCAACTGTTGCCGATCGATAGAGAATGAACTAGGAATTCACATGGATCCTAAAAATATGCATTTTCAAAAATCATAGGCGGATACAGATCATTGAGATTGGGGGTACACAAAAAGTATAGTAAATAAGGTTTTTGTTGGTACTGTTTCTAAAAAGGGTGGTAATGGTCTTGTTATGTTACAATTTTCTTATGAGAGAACGACTACAATTGTATTGGTCATGCATAGGCGGTGTCAGGGCACCTATGTTGGGAGGTAAAGCATAACTCCCCCTCCCCTTATGGACGCCTGGATTCGCCTATTATAGCAAAAACGTGTCAAAAGAGGATGCACAATAACTTTGTATATGTTATCACATGATACCTTTCATTCACTGTTCGTAAAACTGGTGCATACAGTTATAATACATCAGCATCGTGATCTTCGCCCAAATGACTCGCTTCACGAATAGGACCCCCCAATTCCCAGTGCTCTGGAGCCGCCCCTGGTAAAGTTACGAACTTGAAATTTTCAGGGAATGTGCCCAATTTAGTTTTAGGAAAAGTCAGAAAATTTCAGCATCGTAGCTTCAGCGGTTTCGGAGATATTCCCGAAAAACCTGAGGGGTGGATGAAAACAACCCCTCCCCTGCCACTAATAGGGTTAATGGGGTAACTAAATAGGTACTCACTGGTCAATACTCACATTGAGTGTCCGGTTATTCTGAGACATTACAATATATACTTGCATAAAATTCTGTCAGAAGAAAGTAAATGAATGTTAACAATAACATATGTATGTATGTATGTATTGGTGTAAAATCCCTCCACTGGGTGGCTTTTCGGGATTTGCGTCCTTACAGCAGTACAACATTGAACGAGACAAAACAATGTAAATGTGATACAATAGAAGATAAGGAAGATAAAACGACAAGATTCTAAAACACAGAGTTCGAAAATGTATACCGTTTAAAACAGAGACTAACGCATAGCGCGCTTAAACTCTTGGATGGATCGCATTTCAGTGACTCCGACTGGCAGATCGTTCCAGGTGACAGCGGCTCGATACCTGAACAATGAACATACGTTGGGTAGATGTCAGTCTTCACGGCGGCAGCTCGAGCTGGCCGGCCTCTGTGGAGCGGATGGAGCGACTCGAGATCGCCGATCTCGCTACAAACATGGAACGGATGGTAGAAGGTCCAAGTTCTTGCACCAAAAGCTTGTGCACTTTGATAGCGTCCTTTATCTCGACCAGCCGCTCCACCCGCTCCCATCCCAGAGCCCGGAGTGTCGGGCCGATCCTGTTCATCTTCCGTGCCCCTGTCACGATGCGGGCCGCAAAGTTGATGACCTTTTGGACTCGCGCAAGCTGAGTTTTATTGGCTCCACCCCAGACCGAAATGCAGTAAAAGACGAATGGAAAAACATGAATGTTTATCAGACTTCGTAAAATGTCATGAGAAAAATTATGCCGAAAACTGTAAAGAGAGATAAGGAGTGAGTTGCATTTTTTAACCACGTGACTGATGTGATCCTCCCAGGACAGAGTGGGGTCGAGCACGACACCCAATACTCGAATGGAGCCGGCTGGTGTCACTCGGACCTCGTGGATGGCCAGATGAAAACCCTCTGTCTTTTTAATGTTTTAACAAGATCCAATCAAAATGAATTTGGTTTTCTGGGGGTTCATTTTTATCGAGTTAAAGCGATACCAGTTCTGCAAAATGGATATTGTCTTTTCGATGCGCATTTTAAGAGCTACTAGACTTTGAGGTTCGGGCTTCGCTCGGTCCAGCAAATGGGTGCCATCGGCGTAAATAATTGGGTCTACGTCCAAAGAGCACGGGAGATCATTACAGAAAAGAGTGAACAGGATCGGCCCGACAATCGACCCGTGTGGGACGCCATGGGTGACAACCGTGGGAGAGTCACTACCGCCGCGAACCACGTGACTGCGGCCGCCCAGGTAGCTGGCGAACCACCAGGGGTCGATACTCGATTCCATAACACCCCAGTTTGCACTGGACACCGTGGTCAACGCCGTCGAACGCTTTGCTTAAGTCGGCGGCGACGATGGAAGATACAAAGCCGCAGTCATGTTCTGGGAAAGCCAGTCGACAGCGTCAAGCACGGCGTCCTCAGTGGAGTGGCAGTGCCGGTAGGCATACTGTCGTTTGTACAGCACATTTCTCTCTGAGATGTAGGCCGAAAGCTGATTAAATACCACTCTCTCAGTAACTTTGGAAAAATGTGACAGCAAGGTGATAGGCCGGAAGTTAAATGGGACACTCACACTAGGGTCGCCAGACTGTAAATAGGGACGACAGTACCCAACCGCCAAGACTCTGGGAAACGACACGTCACAAGTGATTTGTTAACAATTTTCAACAGATGAGGTGATATCACCGACATGTGGCAGTTCTTATTGCTAAGTGCTTCCTCCACTTCATATTTCACTCCACTTCCACTCTAAAGAAAATGGTTTTATGGTTTAAAATGGTCTAAAGAAAATGGCCGTAAAAGAGTAAATCTTTTCCAAATTTTCCAACCTTTGCGAGTTCTCGAAGAAGCGAACTCCTGAAAAGAAGTGTCTCTGCATGGGGCTGGCCCACCAGCATCTGAGCGGCCGCGCCCCCATCATCAATCTCACAATAAACACCATTTTCCGGAATTGGACACGTTTTATTAGCGATACCAAAGAAACCACCGGGTCGTAATCGCTGTCGCCAGCGGGACCGGATTTGAGTCTGTATCCAGCTGTATCTTCATTCAGACCGACCACCGTGTCGGCTCTATGCCGGCCAATTTTCCAACTAACCTTATTTACCGGCACGGCGCTATTAGATTTCAATAATCCTCCCATTTTGAATTTCCATTGAGCGCCGGCCGGGTGGCGCGTCCGGCGCGCCGTGCGCCACAATGAGTCGCAAATCGAGTGTGGGCGTGCGGCGTGGCTCGCCGGTGCGCCACATTGTGTGGCGTTGTGTTTGTGAAGGCGCCTGACAGCGGCCACCGCCGCGCCGGCCGCCAGCCGCGTCACCAGTGAGCTCTATTTTCCGCTACTTTGTCAAAATGGATAAAAGGCGAACCCGCTCCTCGTGGGTGGCTCCTCGTGGGTCGAACGGCGGGCGATGGAGCGTCCTGGCGACTGGACCACCGTCTCGGAGGGGAGTCCAGAGGGGAGGGTCACTCTCCGAGTCTCTGGCGAGCTGGCCACGCCAGCTCTCTGCAAGGTTCGATACGCGGACCTTTTGATCGCAATGAAAATTCCTGTTACGCTGAAGGCTTGGAGGCTGCTAGGTGACCAGTGCAGCCTGATTCTAGAAACAAAAGCGTTATGCGTTTCGGGACCTGATAAGAGTGGCTTACACAAATACACAAGTCACCTGAGGTCTCGCTTGGCCGTGCGCACCTGCAGAACCCGCTTCTTCATTTAAAACCGGCTGCTAACTATGTTGTTTTGAGTGAAGCCGAAGCATCTCTCTGTAACAGTTTTATTTAAATAACCGAGCGAACACAATCATTCACAGCAGCTGGCCTCATGACTAGCCTTCTATAGCACAGTTCTGCTATCGATCTGCCAGTATATGCAGCAAGCATCACTTACCGACAAGCATGCCAGATAACCTGCAATCGGTTGACAGTTTGCAGACCGAGCTCATGAACATCGCACACAACAGAATCGACAAATTCTACACATATCTCACGGACATTATCCAAACTACACGCTTAGAATGTACCGGACCGGCGAATCGTGAGTCCATGACCATCCTTTATAGCCCACGAAATTCACCTCCCCACCTGGCTTCCCTCAGTCTTGGCGAGTCGCGGCGGCACGTTCGAGCCCCTCCCTCCACACCAGTTCTGCCCTGTCGCGTCCCGACCTCACCACGGACATATCCAGTGCCGGGGGCGACGGCCGGCCCCCTGCGGCCCCCTCTGAGACGGGCGGTGACGGAGACAGGCCGGCGGTCAGCGACGGTGACCCCAGCGCCGCCTCAGGGCAGGCGGGTCGGGTCAGCGCCAGCGCCGGCATCCTCAGGGAGCTCATGAACAGCGAGGGGAGCAGCAGCGGCACGGGTCGGCACAGAGACACGGCGCCGCCGGTGTGAGGCCCGAACCGTGCCGACGCCAGCGGCGGACCTGACGGCACACGCGGGAACACAGTGAGGGTTAGTGTTGGCGTATAGGACCTCGGCGGGGTGAGAAGTCCCGGATTAGATTATTGAAGACACAGAAGGCAAACTCCAACTTCGTGGATTCTGTTTTGACTTCTTCGTTTCTCATATTTGTGCTTCGCTAAATATCCCTAGACTATTTCAGCTCCTATTTCGGTAGGTTACAAACTGGCCATCACGTTCAAAAAATATCTCACCTGGCATGAAGCAGTTCATCAGATACATGGCCGGGTGCTCGCCGTCCCCTGTCTTTTCCCGTTTTCGCCATTTGGCGCGCCGATTTTGAAACCAAACCTGCAAGAACAGAGTCAGAAGTCAGCCAGATCATTCAGATTAGTGGGTAGACGATTCTGTAGTGGTGAATGGTATGATTGCTAGGATTAATTCTCCTGAACTGAGCGCCACAATTTATTGCTTTTATTTGATGGGTATTATGCATCGGCTGAATATTTCATATAATCAGTCATCCACTTGACTCATCACTGCAATCAAGATTGACATGCACTCGAACAAACTATAGTGTAATCAAACGTCTATACTCGTATTATTCTGCTCACTTCATCTTAGCTCGCAGCCCACTTGGACATCCACTTATTCCGCTGAATTCTGAGTGAGGACCGGTTCTTCTCTCTGCGAAGAACCCTCATCGCCAGTTCCCCGCCCTCTATGCCGGCAATTGGCGCTACCATATAGTCCGCGTCGCCCGGAACGCATTAGATGATTGGCCGACATCGGACGCTGAAAGGACTCTAATCGCGGCGCACTTCTTGTCGCACTGCGCCACTGATTGCCTCGATTATGATCCATTACCGGGAGGAAGTGGCGCAGATTGATCGGCGGCTCCTATAGCTGAACAGCTCGGGGCAATGACGACATTATAGTATGAACAGCACTTCACATATGACGTGACATCAGTAAAAAAAAAAATGCATAGCTTTGGGAAATTTTGTGCAGATGTGCTTCGAGTAAAAATCGTGAGAGCTGGTACGCATGCGAGATGACGTCCCGTTCCGGCTCAGTTCAGTGCGACAGCACCCTGCGTCTATTGTGACGCATGTTCTCAAACTAACCCATGTCATGGGAGCTGGTCCTGCGACTACAAATTTGATATCGGCCAAGCATCATCAAAAGGGCTTGTATGACATCATCCCAGAAGAATTAATTGAAGATCTAAAGCTGTATGCCACCGGAAAGCGATCAAGAGTAGCGCGAGACCATAACATCATCGGACGTCTCGGAAAGTCTCACATTAACCCCTATTCATCATATGATGATTCGATCCATATTTCCTCTTTTTTGCGTACCCTATAGCGCCTTGTTCTGCATGTTCATGATGCTTCTGCAATAGACCATCATTAAAGTCACTCAGTAGAAATTCTGGCTCGCTTCGAGTCTGCTGTTTTACTTCTCCACTGCATCCATGGTGTGCACTTTTGATCCGTAACGACTACACTGCCTCCGATCAATGACCGTGCCGTCCGCTCCACACTGCGGCACGAGTACCGACCCTCCGCAGCTGCCCTGTCTCCGCTCTCATGGCGTCCCATTCAGGCCCTCTGTCCGACGCCGGCCGATACGATCGTGGCGCTTTGACGCGCTCTCCGGCGCGGTCTCGGGCCTTTGTGACACCCGAATGAGCTACACTGTATCCGCTTGCTAAACAGGTAAGCGATGGGGTGTGGCGAATTCGGGGCCTAACCACCGGTTGTCAACGCCGAGACGGGCAATCAGTGGTAGAGGACGCATGGGGAAGAGAAGAAGGGGAGGGGAGAGAGGACCGATGGAAATGGGATTTCAGAAGATCAGCTACTGCAAAAATAAACTATAGGGAACCTTAGTGAGCTGCAGCGGGACTCTATTTCCCTGGACTCGCCTGGACAGTGGACTCTGGACTCAGTGAGCTCCAGTTGGACTCACCCGGACTGAGTTAGACTCTACATACATAGGATCCGTGAGCTGCAGTTGACTCTCACTGGATGGACCCACCTGGACTCTGGCCTCAGTCAGCTGCAGCTGGACGGCCAGCTCCTCCCGGGTAAACACGTCTGGGTACTGCGACTTCTCGAAGGCCCTCTCCAGCGCGTGCAGCTGGTACGTGGTGAAAGTGGTCCGCGAGCGACGAAACTTCTTCCTGTAAAACGGGCAAGGCGGTGTTGGAAAAGAAGCTACCATGCTTAAGAGATTGAGGACTGTTTACTCTGACTGCTGGACTGCACGAGTGAGTCTGAGTGATTTGTTTTCAGTGTTGATTTGGCTAGGAGTGATCGTCGTTACGGTTGACCCGATCGCTTACTTTGCATCACAACCTCTTCAGAAGGAGGGCCCCGAAACACTGTGACATCTCATCTATAAATTAAACGTCGTTCTGGTGTCGGGTGGGGATCATCGCATCTCACTGTGAAATGTGGGTAACTTACCCTTGCTTTCGTGATGTATCATCAAAACAGCTTCCGTCATAACTGTCTGATTTTTTCTCCGCTTCACTGACTGTAGAGTCCAGAGCTGATTGTGGATCTGAAACAGAAGAAATAACTGTTACCTATTTGCTGCAGAAAAAATCCCGAAATTAGGCTCCCGATCTTTATTTTCTTATTTTTGATAAATCAACGATTGGTAACAAGCCCATGCTGTCAAAGTAATTGTCTATCATATCCGTCGATTTTGCCTGTCTGCCTTTGACGGATATGACGAAGTGCGTGTGACGGTTGCGTCGCCCGCCGCGCGGCACCCGTGCTGTGCCGGGGACGCCGACCTCCCCTCGACGCTGGGTTCCCTGCTGGGAGGCCTCCCGCTCACCTCCCCACTCAGCCCGCTCCCCTCCCCCACTCGGGCGGTCGAGCCGGGGGACAATGCGGCGAAATTAATTCCAGTTTATTGCCGACTGGATGGCATGCAAGAGTGGCACGTTCATTCGGCTCTCGACTCGCCGGGCGGGCTCTCGACTTCGTCCGACACTCGGGCAGCTGCTGCGCCCCTCCGCGACAGCCCGATGGAACTCCGCGACGCAACGCCCCTGACGCCCGATGACTTTTAAACACCGAACGGCTTGAACCCAAATCTCAGACAGACCGACGGACCGGCTACGATGCCCGGTGGCCCGAGCGATGTCGTCCAACGATGTCGAGCGATGCACGGAAGCTAAGCTATAGCTAAGAACGAAAGCTACATATAGCCTTAGCCCAACATATGGCAATCAAACGGACTAAGACTGACCGATGGACCGATGGACCAGCTGCGACGAATCGGCAAACCAAGACCCAGCCTCCCTCCCCCCCCCTCACTGGACAGAGAAGCGAGCATCCCATTACTCGGTGGCGGTGGTATCTGACAGTCACATTTTCACATTAGTTATCGCACTTCTTGCCCCTCCAGAAACATTGGCCATTGGCCTGCATTTTCACGACCATTTTACCGACTCGTTTTACATAAATCAATCTGTTTCGCCCGAGTTCTCGTCCCGCTGCTTACATCGTTATCGGCAATTGACGACCTCTCCGGTACTGCCGCCCCCTCCCCCCTCCCTCCCCGTGTCGGAGGGACACCCGCTGGGTGACAGCAGACAGCCACTCGTCGCTCGCTGGTGCCGCTAATACCACCTAATTACTTTGCTGTTCGGCCAAATCACACCTAAACTGGCGCAATTAGCCGCGGAGCGGGACCGCTGCCGGCCGACTGCGCGCTCTGAACAGACCTGACGGAGCGGACGGAGGGGCGGGGAGGGGCGCCGAGCCGTCCCCGGGACACTCACACCAAACACTCGGACAGCCGACCGAACACCGATACCCGATTAGGATCAGCGTGCGACAGCTATGCGGCCCGGCGCGGTTTCCTGGGATGTGGCGCTCATGTGGCCAGGTGTATCGGGGAGTCTGACCGAATCGGCGCACATTATTGATTGATTTGCTCGGCACGATTACATTTGGTATCAAAGCATGACAGTTCGTGTCAGATACCTAAAGACATGATATGATAGTTAAAAGCTCAACTTAGACCGAATTTCATTTTTGTCGTTGATGTAAAGCTTGCTAAGGGGCATTGGGAGTTCAAATAATAAAGCATTTTCAATTTATTGTTCCAAAGAAGTTTATTGCCAACTGTAGGCTCAAGCGAATCGATAATACCTGCATCATTTGACACAAAATGAGGCAAGAATGAGAGCACACATTTGGGTTTACCCATAATGCTAGCTGACATATTTGATAGTTGATCTTTGTGTGAATTTAGATAAAACTCGCGTAAGATGATAAGAGCATCACCTGTGATGTTTCTAAATTCCAAAATCAAAGTACTTGCTTGTTAATTACAGCACTGCAGTATCTAACTGAAAAATCGGTTGACATAGGTGTCATTGGTGAGCCTCGCTTGCCAACGCGTGTCGCGTAAAATGGTCACTTGGTGACCTGATGTGTCGCTTGAGTACCTAATGTCACACACGCTTGAGTACCTTATATGACACCAGGGTACCTGGTGTGACGCCATGGTCCCTGATGTGACGCCTGCCTTCCTGATGTGACACGCCGTACCCGATGTGACACCTGGGTACCTGACATGACACAATGGTACCTGATAGTGATGTCAATCACAGAAAATCGGAATACAGATACCAAACCAAATACCAACCAAAACCGGTAGGAAATACTAAAACCGAACCAACTTTAGAACAGGAGGGAAATACCAACTTTTTATCGATTGACGATTTCTTAACCTCTTATACATTAGTGAGGGTTGATAATACCAACAAAATACCAAAAAAATTCAGATTGAAATACCAAATACCAAGTTGGTATCGGTTTGGTATCGGTATACCAAAAAGTTGCTATCCGATTGACATCTCTAGTACCTGACGTGACACGCCGTACCTGATATGACGCGCTGTACCTGATGTGACACGTTGTATCTGATGTGACGCCATGGTACCTGATGTGACGCCTGGGTACCTGATGTGACACGTTGTACCTGATGTGACACGCCGTACCTGATGTCACATTACCCGGTGAACAGTGCGCCACCTTGCCGGCTGCTGCGGCCCTATAGAGCGCCAGGCGAGCGTGAGTGACAGGATTAGAGTCACCCGCGGAGCGAGGGGAGGAAGATGTGAGGTAAAAACGACAAGCTTCTCTGCCTGTAACGTGGCAGAAGTAACGCCCGTACCGAGCAACAGAACAGCGTGGAGCATTGAGTGATGCGCAGGAGTGCATGTTTCGAGCAAAGCACAGATAAAGTTACGTTACCCTGGGGACTTGTATGCAGGTTTTGTCAAAGTGATAAGAATGAAGAGAAACAGTTCCTACTTACTTCATCATATGCGTGCGAAGTGAGATTCAATTTAACAGAACGTTAGAAGCCAAGCATGCACGATGAATCGGTTTATCTGCGTGTGTCGAAATCCCGTTGCTTTCAATTTTTTACACTAATTCAAACCAGAAAATGCAACAATCTGGTCAAATACCAGCAGTACTGACCGGATATATTTCAATATTCCATTGAGCTTAGAGCAGGTTTTGATGAACGGGAACTGCAATGCGGCGTTAGCTTCTGCGGAGAGTTAGACTGTGCCGCCAAACACTTGGTCACTGCGGCGCAGTCTAGCTTCCCGCTCAATGTTCACGCACGCATACTGCGTCGAATGCATGCGAAACGCATTGTGGGTTGTAAAAGCTGCACAATGTGCTTGCATCATAATACAAACACATTGCACATATACGCTTTCACCTTGCAATTACGGCTATACATAGACAGTGTATTTATTTGTTGTATCTTCTCTATTTTTTTCAAAGTTCCCGTTCTCCTGATCGTCAATATAGCCTTGACTAAATGGCATCAAACGGTAAAGACAATGCTATATTACAATTATTTCACCAAAATATGCCATAAAACGAGTGCCACGGTGACCCACAACTCGCTAGGAAGTTTGCAAACTCCCTGACCCGTCAGTGAGTTAGCAAACTCACTAGGGAGGTTGCAAATTTACCAGGGAGTCTACAAAATCACTGACCGGTCAAGGATAAATAAAAACAAGTGTGTAGCATATGGGTGGCATACGTGCCGTCCGTGATGTTAAACAAAGGCGGCTAGTTGTATGGCCTATTTAACCGTCGCACGCGGACAAAAAGCTTATAGATCATATGCACACCATAAATGCCTACTTTTTTATATTAACCCTCGCCCTGGCAGGGGGGGGGGTCGATGCGACCCCCCCTAAGGTTTTTCGAGGATAGCGTAAAAACGGCGGCGCGCAGCGCCGCCAAATTTGGCACAGCCTATGGGGCAACCTTTTTCCATGTGACCTGAAAATTTCAGGTCCGGGTGACCTTGGGTCAGGTCACCAGGTCAGAAAAACCGGTACAAGGTCATGGTCAAATTTCAATTTTCTTTTTGCACCTGTCCAACTCACAGTTTTGCACTGATTTCCTTCAAACTTTCAGGATGTGCTAAGTTCACCGAGTTGTATAACATATAGTTCGGTTTTTTTGAGGTCACTGACCTGAGGTCAGTTAGAGGTCATGACGTCGTAATGTTAAGCCTATGGGAAAATACTAAATTCGGAAAATACTGGAGATATCCGCTTTGTTCTATCACTTTTGTGCTTTGAAACCACAGTACTTAACATCAGGTCACTTGGTGCTTCTTTGTTTGGTGTACTTATCCATGGGTCAGGTCAAATGAGGTCAACTGAGGTCAAATGACGTTTTTGCTAATAACTTGGCACATAATGACGCTAGAGCTTAGAAAATGGTATCATTGTGTTCCTGATGATCAGCCGAATCGAATGATATGCGATATGATGCCATTTGCTTAACTTTAACTTAATTTATTAATTTAAGTTTACTTAAAATTTAAGAAAAACTTTAAGTACACTTAAGCAAGTTAAAAAGTATACCATTCGACGCGCCTTGACGTGCTGAGTTCACTGGTGCTTTTCTTTTTGCTCTATCTTTATTAGATCAAAAGTTATAAGCGAAAAACTTTTGACCTGTTTTTAGCGAAATTTTTACATTTATACCCCCCAAAACCCCCTAAATATTGACCTAGAGCAACCAAATTTGCACAGGGGCGAGAACTCCAGGGGGCCCACCTACCTACCAAATTTGGTGTTTCTAGGTGCCATAGGAGCCAATCGCGAGGGGGGGGGGTCGCATCGACCCCCCCCCCCCCTGCCAGGCCGTGTTATGAAAAATGCCCTGCCAGGGCGAGGGTTAAACTGTTCAGTGATGTAGCCCAAACATGTACCGCACCTTAATTTAGTCATACATTTATTTCGTTCACGTCCCGATTATAGGTCCGTTCCACACAAGCAATCCACACGTGTGCCTATACTTCAGCATATGTGACCAACTGAGCTGTTTGTACTTTATATTGAGCCTGGCTCTGGAATAGCCGCACTTGTGTGGAACGGATTTAATTTGGACGTGAACTTAATAAATGTATGACTAACTAAAGCGGCGGTACATACGTATTGGGGCTAGATCACTGGACAGTTTAAGATCAAAAATAGGTATCAATGGTGTGCATTTGATCTAAAAGCTTTTTGTCAGCGTGCAACGGTTAAATGGGCCGTACAACTAGCAGCCTTTGTTTTAACATCACGAACGGCACGTATGCCACCCACATGCTACACACTTGTTTTCATTTGCCCCAATCGCTCTGGAGGTTTTCAAACTCCCTGACCGGTCAGTGAGTTTGCAAACTCTCTAGTGAATTTCCAAACTCCCTAATGAGTTTGTACACTCACGGACGGGTCAGACTTTCTAGGGAGCTATCAAACTCACCTATTTCTCAAACTACCTGTAACAGATACACCAGCAAGTGTCGAACGACTATAGTATGCTGGGAACTACGGTTCTGCAGTCCTGGGATATCGGCTCGAGACTTTGTGTTCGCTCATAACGCAATACATTTCATATTACACAGTCTCTCCTATAAACATTATCCATTGTTCCCTTATATTCCGTAGAACTGGAAACAGCATGCATCTTTTCAGTTTTGTGATATAACCCTCGCCCGTAAACGGTGTTTTGCCACCTTCGCCCATGCAGGGGTGCGACCCCCCCCCCCTGGCGTTTGAAAACGGAGCGTCGTAGAGCTTAGCGAAAAATACCAACGGATTGCTCTCAACAAGATCTCGCGATTGGTGGTATATTTTTTGGTCCTAGGTCAACATTTGACCTACTTATGACCGGTCAAAGGTCAAATTTTCGGGAAAAAACTAACTTTTTGCTTTCCGCGCCGATTGCGGCAAAACGGTGAAAGATATCGACTTGAAACCTTCACTATCGTGATCCTTGATCAATTCTCTATCGTTTGGTGTGTATTTCGATGTCATAGGACATCGATGTTCGATGTCCTAACTCTAAAAATGATGCGTTGGGAGCATGGGAAGTCTGCAAGGTCATTTGTGCATTGGGTCACGTCAGGCGTGTGACGTCACTGACCTGACCCTGACCCAAAATGAACTACAAGAAACAACCGACGATGCCTGAAATGGATAGCAAATTCGAATTAAGGGCATCAAAATACCCCGAAAAGGCATAAAAGTGCAAGAAGTAATTACAGGTCAACCGAGGTCACTGACCTTACCTTGACCTTTAGTAACCTTCAAAATGTCAACGGACATTGTGCCAATGTCAAATCAGCCATTTGTGATTCTAAAACAATCCATCAGTGTATCAGGTCAGTCGGCATTTATACCAATGTGAAGCAATCTCCAATTTAGCGTAAATCTGACCGGAGGTTGTTCCCTTTATGACGTCATAACTCCGTGACCTGACATGACCTTGACAAAAAAATACCAAAAGTTGCGCAAAGGATGCCCCAGAGCGTACTGGAAATTTGAGTAGGCTACCTGAAACGGTTCGGCGTGTAGCTAAGAAAAACCTCGGGGGGGGGGGGGGGTTGCACCAACCCCCCCTACATGGGCGAGGGATAACTTAGTTGTTATTATCATTATTCGTGATAAACCTTATTTTGGTACGTGATTGAACGGTTCTTTGCAGCTTTTATCGATTTATAAGGATGTACATCTGTGCCAAAGTTAATGAATTTCAATGATTTTAGGTATCCATGAATTAGGGCCCTCCAGGTAAATTTGGAGGTCTTTTCACTTTATGTTACTAGGAAATATGAAACTGTCTCTCTCGCCTACGCAAGTCACAATAATCATATTCCAACACAATCGTTAATAAGGCATCTAGCTAAAAAATGAATCGGAAAAGTGCACTATTTTGTTTCTTAAATAGCAACAAAATCGCTCTATGCCTATAAAATAAAATTGCTCTATGCCTATAAAATCGTTCTATGCCAGACTATAGTTTTACTTAGATTTATGCCTAAAAATCCGAACAAGCTGAGGTTGTTGAACAACCTTAGCGCAATACAACAGTTCGGTGTGTCATGTGTTAACCATCCCCCTCCGCACTTTTCCAAACAGAAAACCAAAATTAATTAGGAGCAACGTGTCACCAAATGCAATGACGCAACGTACAATGTAGAGCACTTCACGGATAGGCTTTTTAGGATTCGGCCCGGCCCATATCCGGCAAGTCATATCCAGATCCGCCCATTATCCGCCTTTCTTTGAATATCAGAATCCGGCCCACCCATGGCCCGTATTGCAGCCAAACTTCCAAAAAATATCCGTAATAATCCGTTTCACCAATAACTGGTTTCACCCAAAACTGGACTAACAAATTCAATCTAAGGGACCAGACAGCCATACATCTCACAGACCATCATGGTTCCAAAAACCATGCTTATAAACCTAAAACCACATGAAAATTACCACATTGGTAAACTAGGTATCATCCTGCCGCTTAACACATTAGGTTAATTTTTAACTTCAATGTTGAATGTTAAAATTTTGATCCGTTTTGATCCGGGTTCAACCTTCAATTCCCAAATCCGGCCCGCCCATATCCGTTCTTTTTTAACAAATTTAGAATCCAATCCTATCCGGTCCGCGGATTTATCCGTGGATAACGGATTTATCCGGCCCATGAAGTGCTCTAGTACAATGTACATACATGCACGCACGACAAATGTAACGGACACATGTCCTCAGCAGAAGCTCTCATCTGTTTTACTAAAACTAAAAACATCTCATAAAGATTGTTTCATTCCGTTTCTGAATTTAAATTCTGCTTGTCGAAGAACGCCCACCAAAGTAAAACGCATGAAGGAACATTGCTGAAGAAGCACATGCGGAAACATGAAGTTTCTTGCGAATCTATGCATAAGTCTCTGATACGACCACTGATATCTATTATCATAGAAACATGGCATTAGCTGACCACGTCTTGTAAGGAGGCATAACACAGCAGTTGCACGTTTTTGTCTTTCTCTCCCCGTCCCGAAAAACTAGCCGGCTCGGCGCTCGCTAGTCTGCAGCGTCTCGCGCTGGTCCGGTGACCTGCCCTCACCTGGTGCACTTTCCGCGTTTCCGTCGCCGTCTGGTGCGGCGCCACGCCCCAGGATTCGCTCGATGCTGTGAATCTCCGGCTTCCTCTGATGTCGGGTCATCGCGTCCGTCCGTCTGCACTCGCCGGCGCGCGTGCCACGCTGCCGCCAGTGCCACCCACCAACTCTTTCTGGTCGGCCCGACAGAGGCGTCTGTTTGATCTCTATCCAATACCAACGGCAATTAACTGCCAATGAATAGAATCTTGATGTAATCTGTCAACACGGCCGGTCGGCACACACTGTTCGGTGTCGGTCGCCAATCAGCGTCGTGATTTCATCAGGCGTCACCAATGGCGGCGGCCGTCACACGGGGTAGGCGGGGCCTGCGGCGGCCAGCTCATAATGCGGCAGATCGGCCGCTGCCCCGGGGGCTTTCTGTGAGCATTAGCGGCTCCGGGCGACGCCGCTGTAACGCCTGATTCGGCGGAAATTTGCCGTAAACTAGCCAATAATGTCGGCGTGCTCCATGTTTATCAGCGTCGCCCTACCTGACAGCTCATTGCTGGCCAAGTTCCTCGGCCCCTACACAACATGTTTTTAATTATTGACAGCGTTTATAACATAGGTAGATTATATTTTCTTGTGTTCCTCGTATTGTTTTATGCCCCTCTCCGATGACGTTTATGATTTATGAAGTTTTGTCGTTCTTTTTTTTGCACGTCAACGAGATAGCCGACGATGGGTAAGTTTTTTGCTTGTAAACGGCCGCTGCACGCCATTGGCCTTCCAAAACCGACGCGTACATAGCGCCAGCATTTTGGCATAGGTGCCTTACTACTTTTCTTCTTGCGTTTCTTTGTCTTTGAAATATAAGTCATTCAAAGTCAGGTCAACAGATCACATCAAATGAACTATGGATTTCCACGCACTGTTGGGGAGGGAACCCTCCTTCTAACTCGGCTCCTGGAACATGTAGTGACAACTGACATCACTGGCGGATCCAGACTTGCGTTTTGGGGGGGGGGGCAACTCATGCAGGAGCCAAACCTAGGGTACCCCCAAATCCTGTTTTCTCATCGGATTTAGGCCACTTATTTTTCGTCACAGCCCTGACACTATGAACATTTTTTTTAACTAAAAATAAAAATATATAAATGGTAGCCCACCCGACCCATGCCTTTATATTACTTTGTAAACACTTCCTATTGCTTTTGTCGACCAGTTAACCCGCTTCGAGTCAGTGCTTGGGTCCCTTTGCGGGCCGGGAGGTGGTAAAACGGGAGGTGGTCTAACTCGGCTCCTGGGCCAGGCACTGATTGAACTGTGCTTCATTATCGCTTGGGGGAGGGGGCAAACGGGCCACTTTAGGCCTCTGGGAAGGGGGCATGGCCCTAAATGCCCCCTCCCTGGATCCGCCAGTGTAAGAGACCATTGGAGCTGCAGTTGAGTACCTCAGACGTCAGGGTACGTCCTCAGATGTATAGGTAGGACTCGCATGGAGACCTCTTATGCTATAGTGGACTGAAAGGACCCAAAGGAGCCTGTCTAGGGCTCCCGGAGATAGACGTGGGCCCTCAGGAGCCCGCCAGAGCCCCCAATGAGGGATAAGTGAGGGATACCAAGTGCCTGCAATTGCATATTGCATAAGCCATAACGCCATTACAAATCAATATAATATGTACCAGTGGCAGATCCAAGGGGGCCACATGGGTCATGACCCCCTTGGTGCCCGGGGGCACCACAGGCCTGTCAGGGGCACCACCGGCCTAGCAGGGGCACTACCAGCCCGCCAGGGGCACCACAGGCCTAACAAGGGCACCACGGGCCTGTGAGGGGCCCCACAGGCTAGGCTTGTCAGGGGCACCCCAGGTCTGTCAGGGACACCAGAGACCTGCCAGGGGCGCCGCCGGCCTTGCAGGGGCACCATGGGCCTGTCAGGGGCACCAGAGGCCTAGCAGGTGTACCACAGGCCTTACAGGGGCACCTTGGGCCTGTCAGGGGCACCACAGTCCTGTCAGGGCCCAGGGGCACCAGCGGCCTAGCAGGGGCACCACAGGCCTGCCAGGGGCACCACCGGTCTAGCAGGGGCACCACCGGCCTCGCAGGGGCACCATGGGCCTGTCAGGGGCACCACCGGCCTCGCAGGCATCACGGCATCACGCAGGGGCACCTTGGGCCTGTCGGGGGCATCACGGGCCTGTTGGGGGCACTTTAGGCTTGTCAGGGGCACCACAGTCCTGTCAGGTCCCAGGGGCATCAGCAGCCTAGCAGGGGCACCCTACTGTTAACGCCAGACCCCTTGAGACCCTAATTTTTCGCGATTACTTTTAAATGCGTGAAGGAATTTCAACCAAGCTCAGGACATGGCCGTTTCAAGACAGGCCGAAACTTTTACAATTTAGATATTTTATCGCCATTTCAACATTTCAGGCACTTGTCATTGACTCGTAATGTTAAATTTCGAGCAAGATTTTCATCCGGTGTGTAGAGGCTATCACCAGTCAGTCTGTGATACGTTATGACGTCACAGCTAAGCCCCGCCTCTGTGGTCTTGGCCTGCGGCGGTTTCGGGCCGGCGCGCGGTCACTCTCGCTGTGGCGGGGAGCGGGGACGGGCGACGGTCGAGCAAGGGCGGCGCCACCGTGGGGGCAGTGGGGGCAGACTGCCCCCACTGGCAGGAGGCCGTGGGGGCAAGACTATGTTTTTGCCCCCACAAAGTTTGGCCGATGTTAAAGAGGGAACAGAAGACCTGCGCAACATTCATGATAGGCGGTTATGATAGTGCGCCTGTTTTTGACGGTCCCCGTATCAAGTGCATCAACAGAACGTTCGTTCTCGGACCGTCTGTCGCATATCTCCTACTCCCACTCATTCTCCTACTCATTTTCATTCACCAGAAGGCTGCCCTCGAGCTTGGCCTCGAGGAGGTTGAGAGGCAGTTTGTCAAAAGTCGGCCAGAGAAGAGATCACCCTCTTTTGGGAACCCTTAGACTGAGACTGAGCTCAGGGAGGTATGACAAAATGCGATAGGGTATGTATATCCTGGAAATCTGGAAATATATGTGAGTCGCCCTAATGGAATTTATTCTGGTATATCAATCATGTGTGAAAGAATCGCACAGATAAGTGCTACGGGACAAAAGATCTAGGTACTAATTATTGTTTTGAGGAATACACCATTTTACATCTCAACGAACAACAAAACGCTTTCACAGGTTTGTGTCTCGCAATCTAGTTTTATAGTTTTATTTGCTCGCGACCTTAACCCGGCCGGGCCCGGGGGGTAATCCCAACCACCGCAGCCCGGGGGTAGCCCCCCCCCCCCAGCGTAATTCTTTTTTCCACCCAAAGGAAGGCGCTATACGGAGAATATCCCATTGCGTCATTGAAAAGTGACTTACACCTCTCACCGGCCAGCTGGCTGCGTGGTGTAGTGGTGACTGGTGAGCACACTCGCCTCGTGATCTAATAACTAGGGTTCGATCCCCGCCGCCGGCCGAACTTTTTGGCGCGTTGTAGGTTAGGTTGTAGGTTTGTAGGTTGTAGGTTTGTAGGTTGTAGGTCTGTAGGTTAGGTTGTAGGTTAGGTTGTAGGTTGTAGGTTTGTAGGTTGTAGGTTAGGTCAGGTGAGGTTAGGTTATGTTTGTTTTTGTTTGGTTTGTTTACCAAGAAGCATCTTCGGGTATAGCGCCTTCCTTTGGTTGGAAAAAAGAAACACGCCCCCCCCCCCCCCCCACCTGTCTAACACCGTAAATAAGGCAGCTACGGAAACAAAAATGGTACAAAACGAAAGGTATCTACGATAAGATTCTAAAGCATCTAAACTTTTGACCCCAGGTCAAAAGTGGCGGAACGGGGAGGGCACCGGGGCACCGTGCCCCCCTTTGATCTTGGCATTTTAACATTAGCCCTATGGGCGTTGCATGGAAAGAATGGGACCAAAAGTCGGCAGTGTCTTGATTGATGGTGTTCCGGCGCTACTGCGTCAGGTCAATTTTCAAGGTCAGAAGTCAAGGTCAAAGGCAAAAACCGGCACTTTTGTGTTGGTCTCAAAGTACGTGTTTCAGAGGACGGCATGGTGCACAAAACCGGCTAAAATGGATGTTAAACGAAAGAAGAGAGTCTGGGGATTCCGACGATGTGCATAACATTCAAAATCAAGGTCACGGTCATGCTCAAAATTTACCACAAACTTTGCACTTTTTCTTATATCTTGTATACTAAATTCCGAGATGTACTAATTGTTTTGAAGCTTAGTGCTTTAGGTATTTGTGCTTTAGCTTACGTTACATGGCTGCTACAAGGTCAAAGTCACAAGAGAGTATCCTTGCTAGAGGATGTTTCACTTACTCAAGTCAGGTATAATAATTAAGACATGTTTTGCCATCCTGAGGCTCTAAATGAATGCTTAGAGCGGAATGGATCCCAGAATCGTGATCAGCGGCTAGGAAATCATCACAAACGACCTTTCATGTGTCAAAGTCAACCATAGGTCATTCGAGGTCACATGAGGCCAACATAAAACGTGACCTAATACATATGTCATTCGACGCGTCTCGACGAGACGAATGCGAAGGTAGCACTGCCGTAGCTCTATGACCATTTTTGTTGAAGTTATTTTCGAAAAAAAAAAAACACTTAAGCTCCTGCTCCAGCTCGGGGTCGTTGATCTGACCTCTGACCTCAGGTCACCAAAGTTACTTAAGCATTTTGTCTAGGTCAAATGCTACACAACCGTGCTCGTAATTTATCTTCATCTCTGAAACTCTTTTTTTGGCAGCTGGTTGAAGTTCACGTCTGTGACGTCGAAGTTTGTCGTGCAGGAGTCTAGAAAAATCGGCCCTGAGACGTTATCAAGGAGGCTAGGTCCAAATGTTTTGCTTCAAAAGATGTCAAATTAATGGGGGATAGGGTACAGCAAGTTTCGTCTTTCTATCCCTAAGCGTTCACGAGATATCGTAAATATTCGCCAGGGGTTGGTTAAGCTCAATACGTAGGTATGCATGAAACCTGAAACCATAATCATTTTGAATGGCAACACCTAGGGGCAAGGTGCTCATTGGATTTTGCAGATCGGCGTATCAGACAACAGTCGGGTCACCTCAAGCTTGCCCCCACTGGCGAAAATTCGTGGCGCCGCCACTGCGGTCGAGCGGTGCCGAAAGCCGGCGGAGTTGTGCGTAGCGTCTTGGCTGACAGTGCCCAGAGAGCGACATGATGACTAAGGAGTCATAAATGCTCAATGCGCATTGCTTCTACAATGCT